TTTTTAATTTTATTTTAAACTACAAAAACAAATTAATCGCCCCGACTGTGCCAGTCTATTGTTTAGTATGACATACTGTTCTCTATAGTATGACACATACTTTCTATTTTATTCACTACAGAATATAACTCACCTCGTCCTAGATCTGTTGTGATATTATTCAACATATTAATTTGTTTAATAACATCTTTTCTAGTGAACTGTGGAACAATGACCCAGTAACCGCATGTCACATGTCTCAATCTGCAGAGTAGAAACACATAATAGGGTAAAACTAACCTGTCTCACGGCGGTCTCAACCCAGTAATTTCTAAATTCGAAACACATTACTAAATAATGCAAGGTCCAGGATGGGTTCAAACAGCAGGGACAAAAAGAGTGCATAAACAGCTCACTTGCCAGGCTAGAGCATTATAGATTGGGAAAATAGCATCCACTCGGAAGGGACTTCTGACATTTCCGTTCTCAGTGCTAGTATAAATTTCACCGTAATCTTATAACAAAAAAACGGATTACCCCAGGATAGCAGAATCTTTCCATTACACAAAAACCCAATACCAGGTACATGTATGTCAATTTAAGTTACTTGGAGTCACTATTACGGTAACAACAACCTTGACTGGAATACACTGAAAACATAAATCATACTAAACTATTTTTACTATCACGTATTGAAAAATTTTCTTCACCTTCATACAGGTAAGTTGTTTTATTATTGTTTTATATCATCACATATCAATCATTGTCAAATTTAGCTTGGAATATTTTGTCAAAATACCAACTAGTGTCATTGCACATTTTCAATTATTACCTACCCATGTAGAAATGCATGATCTAAATTTTCCACCAACTTCTGAACTGGTCTTCGTTCATTGGTTAGTACAATTGGTTGACTGCCAGCACACGAGGATAAACCTTGAATCTGAGAAAGAAATAAATAAATAAATAAGAAAGAAAATATACCGTATTCGACCATGTTAGTGCCCATGCTCAGTCGACTTTTTCTGATGTTTTCTCTTCTAAAAAATATATATGTTTACAATGTCAGTCATGCAAAAAGTACATGAATATTTGTACAGTACCGGTAGTTCTCTTTTTGTAGGATATGTTGGCCCTGAAAATGGCCATTTGGTTTGTGCTGGAGAGCATATTCCAGCTAAAATAAAGTATTTTACAGTACTGGATTTAATTTAGAGGATTTAATGTTTCAGAAATATTCACTTATTTGCTGATTTGTGAAGAAAATTATATACATTCATTAAATTATTAGAATATTCACTGGGTTTGAATTTAGCCCATTTAATGATCAGCAAAATTAAAGAAAATAAAACCCAACAATAATTTAGCCTTAGGTATATTTTAGCGATTGGCAGCCATTTTGTCAGCACTTTTTTTTATTCTCCCATTGGTTCCTATGGTGGAGATATTATTATTGTGATACGGAGTGGGGTTTTGAAAAGTTCACTTTAACATTGTCTTCTATGAAATTGTTCTAAAAATATCAAATTTTTAATAATGTTTAGCCCATTTTCTAAAATACTGGGCACTGTAGCTACCTCTATGATTGCACATAATATACAGGTACCAATGAACATTGTCACAAAGTAAAATCAAAGAAAGCTTAGAAAGAACTCCCGTGTGCTGAGAGTTTTAGAGACACACTAAAAATTAATTCAAAATTACTTATACTTGAGATATTGATGGAATAGCTGAAAACTAATTATGCAAATAAGGTAACTAATATGAACAGATTTAAGTGTAAAACTAAAGGTCTGCACAATGTACCAAGTTTCATTGAAATGTGATTAGAACCAACAAAATATTAATTATTATGCTAATTAGA